TTAATGTGAGTTAGTGTGAGTTAATGAGTTAATGTGAGTTAGTGTGTTAGTTAAAATGGCTTAGTGTGAGTTAATGTGATTTATTTAGCATAGGTTAATATAAGTTAACATCAGTTTGTTTGCGATAATGTGAGCTAGTATGAGTTAATAGGTTAATATGAGTTAGTTTGAGTTACTGCTACTGTCAGTTAGTGTGAGGTAATATGAGTTCATGTAAGTTAGTTTGAGTTCATATGAGTCAGTGTGAGTTAATGAGTTAATGTTCGTGTGAGTTGTCAAATAAAATTTGCAAATAAAACACATTTAAAACAAGAGTTAAACCAAAAGGCTGCAAAATCATAAATAAGTCATAAGACAAAGACACAACAGTTAAAGATGAAGTCAAGGTTTACGTAAATCAGGAGAAGTGAATCTGCAGCAGCAACAGTTTCTAAAGTTCCAGCAGCTGCTCAGAAGGTTCAGTCGCCTTCAGATTGATGTTTGGGTCATCAGAGCATCCGATTGGTCGATATCAGAGCATCAGAGCATCTGATTGGTCGACCTCAGAACACCTGCTTCTTTAAGTTTGTCCTGCAGCTTGAGACTAAAGCTGATTTCTGACTGTGGATTCTGGTGTCAGTGTTTCGTGGACAACCTGAAGCAGTCGGCGGGTTCCTGCGGTCCAAACGGGCCAACCAGTTCCTGCTGGAGGAGATCCTGCAGGGGAACCTGGAGAGGGAGTGCTACGAGGAGCTGTGCAGCTACGAGGAGGCTCGAGAATACTTTGAGGACACGAGCAGGACGGTGGGTCAAACAACAGACTGACTAGAACACGAGGAATAAGGGCGAGACTCTGAACTGTGTTTGTTTGTTTGCAGATCAAGTTCTGGACGGTTTATTACGGTGAGTCCAGTTTAACATAACTAACCTATAATTAACTAGTCTCATGACTGAAACTACAGGACAAAACTAACAACAGATAAATTACAAGGATGTTCCTTTACGGATCCTGAAGTGGATTTTAAAACGAGTATGTTACTGACTGAGAGATGAATGTGCTCGTGTTGGAGACGGCGACCAGTGCGAACCGAACCCCTGCCTCCACGGAGGGAACTGCACCGACAGGGTGGGCGGCTTCTCCTGTTCCTGCAGCGCCCCCTACCACGGGCTGCTCTGCCAGCTGGGACCACTGGGAGAACTGGGAGATGCAGGACCACCCTTCGTCGCACCGCAATTCACCCAACCAGGTTTGACCATGCCCATGTTAGGACAGTAGGGTCTCTCGTTCTTCGGCCGTCACTGATCTGGTCTTTTCCAGAGGTCTCCAAGTGTCCGACCGGCGGTCCGGCGGCGTGCCACCAGCTGTGCACGGCGTCCTTCCACGCCTTCAGGTGCTCCTGCATGTCGGGCTTCAAGCTGCAGAGCGACGGACGCAGCTGCGAACCTGAAGGTTGGCTTCAAAATAAAAGCACCTTCAGCCGACCAGCTCCTGACGCTGAAATAACCGAATCTTTGTGTCCTCAGCCCAGTTTCCCTGCGGACGGCTTCCCGACGCCGCCTCAGCGTGTCACCATGGAGACTGTCCCTGGCAGGTGAGGTCCTCTCAGCCAATCACAGCGAGGCCTCACTTGTGCGGTCTGAAAACACCCAAATATTTAGGACCAATCACAGTGCAGAAAACCAGGACGAAAGGAGGTGTGTTTGTTTCTGCCTCCAGGTGTCCCTGCGGAGCAGCAGAGGGGCGGAGCTCTGCGGCGGTGTGGTTCTCGGTCGGCGCTCCGTCCTCACCACCTCCCGCTGCCTCATCCTGAACTCTGGTTCCGACCCAACGCCCTCCGACTTCCTCGTGCTTGCCGGTGCCGACCGCATCACTGAACTTCCTGCTTCCGTTTCACAGTAAGAGTCCACTCACCTGTCGCATTTTGTCGTCTCTTAGGCAACAGGAAGGTGCTGCTGCCAGTGCGAGCGCTGTTCCTTCACGACCGTTTCCGGGTGGATCGCCATGACAACGACCTCGCCCTCCTCCAACTGGACAGACCGCTGCCCTTTGGCCCCGCCCTCATCCACCTCTGCTTGCCCACCAAGGACTTCGGTGAGAACATCCTGATGCATCCTGGGAGGACTGGCATCGCAAAGAGATGGAACCAGAACCAAGACCAGAACCAGAACCAGGACCTGGTGTACATGACGCTGGACGAGTGCCGCAGCCAGCTAAACGTCTCACACCCACTCAGTAACAAAATGTTCTGCATGAAGAGGCAGAACCAAACATCAGGGAACCAAAAGAGAACCCACCAGAGTCTAAATGAATCTCTATGGAACCAAAACCGAGGTCCCAGCGGGCCACATGTTCCTTTAGGTAACTGGGATGAAACCCAGAGCCCAAGTGGACCATTAGGGAATCGAAGACAGATCAGGATCCAGAATCGAACCCAAAACGCTCATAACGGGTCGCAGAGTGTCGGCGTCCCTGTGAAGGTTCAGAACCAGGAAGCCTCATCTGCCGGCGAGTCGAGGTCCGGGGTCAGCGGTGGGTCATGTGACAGCCTGTTGCCGGGGACGCCGGTTGCCACGGTGGAGCAAGGGACGGCCTTCCTGACCGGGCTGCTGATGTCGTCGTCCTCCGGTGGCTCCGTCTTCACCAAGCTGTCTCGGTACCTGAACTGGATCCGACCGAGGCTGGAGGCAGCCGAGCATCACATGACCTCCCAGGTGAGCCAGTACCCCGAGGCCCACTGAGCCGCCTTCTTCAGAGACTCTGTTTATTTAAAGTCGTGAGCAGAACTGTGGACCGTCCTCTGGAGAAACCGATGCGCTGTTTGGTGACAAACAGAAGGTGCTGCTGATCTGCAGAAACAGGAAATCTCAGAAGAATTTGTATCTGAAACGTGTAAATTTACGTTTGCTGTCTCTCAAAAAGTGCTTTTGAATAAATACATTTAAAAACTGAATAAATGTCTGGAATCAGGTTTCTTTCTACATCTGATGGTGGAACATCTTTCTACAGCTGATGAGCAGAGCAAAGAGGAGACGTCTGGAGACGTGGAGATGGTTCAACATCTGCAGGACGAGGAGACCACATGAGCTCCAGGGTTTAACATCTGGAGACATGTTGCTTCCTGGTTTCTTACGTGTTGTAAATAAAGGTTTTTAAATTTCTTCTATTTCATGACGTCTGCACATGGTCTCAGCTCATCTTTAGTACAAGTTAGACAGACCGAGTCCACCTGAAAGTCCAGGAAATGGTTTTATAGCAGAACATCTCTGAGTTCTGTCTCCTGCTTCATGTTCTGGTTCCTCAGAGCTGCAGGACTTCATGTAGCAGAGAAACATGAACCTCAGTGAAGACAGACGAAGCTCAGAGAGTTAAAACGTGAGAGAAACAGAAACACCCAGAAGTCCTTCCTGAAACAGACGATGACCCAGAATGCTCAGCGCCAGGTTGGCTCCAATAACGAATCAGATCAAAGCTCTACAAACCAGCACAAGTTTTATTCAACAGTCACAGTAGAAAAAAAGAGGACAGGAGCTCCAAGTGAGCAGCCGCCCCGCGGCATCGTGGGTAACGTGGTTCAGGAGACAGAGGACAGAGCAGGAAACGGGTTCTGTTTACTGACCACCAGCTTCTGGTGCTGCTGGGAGATGTAGCCTTTAATGTGGCCCTGCAAAGACAAGAACAGGATCAGCGCCGCTTCAGCCGCCTGCTCAGGTGAGCCTCTACCTGTCCGTCCTCACCATGTAGATCAGGTTGGCCAGGATGCACTGCACCTCGTCGATGTCCACGTCCTCCACCTGCATCATCTTCAGAGCCACCAGGAAGGCGTCCAGAGGCAGCTGGTGGGTCCTCAGCAGGAGGTACCTGGAAGCAGAACGTCATTCATCCATTCACCTGCTCATCAACAGTCCTGACACACGTGAGCACAAACCAAACTAACAGTCATTCACTGAAACTTTTTCTCACATTAAACCTAAAAATAAGTTTGAAGGTTCCAGGTTTTATTTTGGAGACTCAGCTTCCTGTAGCTCAGCGTTTCTCAGAGAGGTGATGGAGAGCGGCGTCAGGCAGGAATAGGTCCGTCTACGTGGAACTAATGTGCTGAGCTATTGTTTTAACATCCACACACAACAATAAACAAACTGCGCTGTCATAGTAACCGTCCCCAGTGATTGGGTTCCTCCTGCTCCGCCCACAGTGACGAGCTGTCAGGAGTTCACTGAGCGGACAAGAGTTTGACCGGGACGACGGAAAACAGGCGAACAGGAGACAAACGAGATACAACCACGTGGTGGGAGGTGAGCAGAGTGTTTTATGTCGGTACGATACACATGACTCGAGACTGGCAGCGTCAAGTCTGCAGCCCGTTTTGAAAAAGTGTGCAGAACAGAACAGAGCAGAGCAAAGGGCTGAACTATGAAGCCAGATCAGCGGGTCATCACGTATGTTGAGCTTCAAGCCAGAGTTCTCAGTATCACGAAGGTGGCTCTCTTTTACCTGCTAGGTCTCCATGGTAACTGATGCTGTGAAGCTAGGTCTCCATGGTAACTGATGCTGTGG